AATCGGGATTAAAACTGGCTACGGGAACCAACGTTATCCAACCAGCCATCTACGCTTGTTAATTCGGCATTTGTGAGATCTTTTTGGGCATGTATGGTGTGCCAACTTATGCAAACCTTAGGGGTTTACTTTGGCATTATGCTCGATGTAGCTGCTATCCCGATGCGTTAAATAGAATGGGATTAGGTGAGCTACTTTACATGCAGAAGGAGACTTCCCGATTTCCGGTAGAGGCACTTGAATGCCACATGTGTTGTTTCTTCCAGACTACTAGCAGTTTGTCATCTCGCCCGGGTGAGCAGGGCTACGGCATGCACGGCTCCCATGACCTGCGGACAGGTGAAAACAGAAGTTCCGAACTTCAGTCCGGATGGCGAGTGAGTATTGTCTTTATTTGTTCTCCTTTTCCAAGTCCCTTACACTCACGGGCAACACCAGTGATTTGTGCTTTTTGGTTTGTCTTTTTTTATTTCACATTGTATGTGCACTTTCTTTGACTGCTGGTGATTTTATTTCCAACTTCCTTCCTTTAACTCGGGTTTCTGTCATCGATCGACCACCTTGAAGCGCAGCCTTACGCGACGTGATAAGCAAGTCAGAGAACAACGTGTGAGTTGTGGGTAAATGACAGTTGAGTGTATGGTCGTTGGCGGCCTCATGGAGTTGTCGGTTCATCTGTTCGCTTCTAATGTCGCCCTCGCATCGTGGGACTGCAGGAACTGTGAGATAGCATGCCCACACACTGCCGACTTTCAATTAAGTCATTTACAAACTTATTATTATTACTACCGAGTGCGCATACTTTAAGTATGCATTCAAGTTGCTGACTCTACATAGATTTTATGTATAGCATTTTCCGTACAGTTATCGGTCAACTCTAAAGCAACAGTATTTAAACTGACCTATCAAAGGGAAAATTGAGTGCTCGAAAGATTTCGGAATAAGAACTGAACATGAGAACCAATGTTATCTAACGAGCAACCTGTGCTCCTTAATTCAGTCTTTATTATATCCTCTTTGCGGGATTTTATAGGTTTTAAGTACGCAAACTTGAGAGATGTTATGTGGTGTTAGGCTAGAGTTATCTGCAGTCACAATACATTAAAAATATTCCCATTAGATGAGCTATTATGGATGCAAAACGAAACTTCCGGCTTACGGTTGACAAACAATGAATGCCACATGTGTTGTTTCGTCCAGACCGCTGATAGCTTGTCTTCTCGTCCGGGTGACCAGGGCTACGACATGCCGACGAAAGCACTTACTCAGCCTTCCGATGATCTGCGGACAAGGCAAAAGAAAAGTTCCGAAAATCAGTCCGAACAGCCAGTGAGTTTTTTTTCTACGTCCCTTTGCACTGACAGGTATCGTCAGTGATGTTTATCGCTTGATGTCTGTGTGATTTCACATTGTATTTGCGCATTCTTTGAGTGTCAGTCTTTTTTATTTGCAGCTGACTAACTTTTGCTTAAGTGTCTGCCGACGACCGACTACCATGTTGCGCTGTGCCACTCGATGTGATGAGTCTGCTGAAGAATCCATAATGACGTGAGGTGTAGGTAATAGAGGGTTAAGTGTGTGGTCGCCTCTGCTTGTGTCACCTGTCCGATACTAGTTCCCTCTACGCACCGCGGCGCTGCAGGAACTGTGCGGAAGCATGCCTCGACAATGTGCGTTTTGGCTTAAGACCTTTGCAGGCTGCGTTAGCGAAGTTCCTTACGATCATTTGACCGGCTGGGTGGCTGAATCAGTACAACCATTATAAAAGCGAATTCGACTGTGTTCTTTAGAGTGCTTAGATGTTGTAATGTTTTTTCACAATGTATACGCCAGAATCTCGTACTCCGAAAATAGATCAGAAGTCGGTGCAGGCTACTTGCGACCGACTGCTATCGTAAATAGAAATGCCTGTATGTCAAGACGTTCTTATGGCAGCAAAGGGATACGCGAAGTCGCCGCATTCGTGTTAAGGGTTCGATGAAGTGGATTTTGACGCTATTCTCAACTCATGAATCCTTATTAAAATGGTCGAACTATGGGATTACGACGAACGATATATGAGTGGTAACAGGTTCATTAAATTTCTTCCTTGAAGTAGTGGTTCATTTTTTAATAGTAGTGCTGCCGACCTTTGAATCGTAATTATTACCAGTTACGTTATTGGTTCTATTAGTAGGATAGGTGCTGATGGTTTTTTTACTGTTGTTGCGCTACCTTTTTCTTACCGATAATATCGTTAATAGTATTGTTATGAATAGTAATAATATTTGGGGTAACAGTAGTAGTATTAATTGTCTTTTTAGCCCTTGTTATATTATTAATAGCACTATGAATAGCAATAGTAGCATTATTAATACCGTAAGTAGCATTTTTATTAGCTCCTTGTAGTTCTATTAAATGTAATAGAAAAAATAGGACAAGAAAAGGAGCAAAATTGTCTCTACGCTATTCAAGTTTAGCAAATACAGCAATGCGCACTGTTTAAGCGTATATTTCTACTGACTGACAAATCAGCCATCGCAATCAATGGGATCCTAATCTACTGGATAGAGCGCAAGGGTTGCTTGCGTTAGAGTCCGTTTTTTGTGAAGCGAATTGACGCGCATGCAAAGCACCCGACAACCGAGGTAATTTAACGGTAAGATTGAAAATCTTTAAATCCTTTCGACGGCTGTTCAGAGTAACCGGCTACTTTGTCGGCAGTTGCATACGCAACCATACGTGAATTTAGTGGCATAGTAAGGATGAACGACAGTGGTTGGCATAGCTACACTTGCGAGTGCGTAGGCCGTACATGACTTCAAACTCGGTCAAAGTATGCATTTAGGGTACGATGACATACACTGTACAGTAATTGCCGACCATACTTGCGCCTCAACTTTAATATCCTACATCTCGTCTATCTTTGCCGGCTGTTATTCTACCAATTTTCAGCGTGTTAAAGGTCGACTAGTACTGCCTGCTTTTTGGCAGTTTATGAATATGACTAGGTTATCCCGCTGCAGCAGATTGATTTCGGTTCAAAATTGTACACCAATTCTCAGACTGAGTCTATAAAACTTCACTGCGACCGACTTATTTCTTCTTTTCGTTAAACACTGCGCTTTGAAGACAACGAAAGAACTGAAACTTTCCAATGGGTTGTATTTGAGAGAGCCAATAGGAAACATAAAGGAACTCACTGATTAGTAGCACTCCTGGCAGCTGTGTGCAGCTAGTACGTGTGCTACTAATATGGTAAATAATACAGCATACAGGAGTCGCCAAAGATCACGCAACTGGT